CCAAGTTCTCCTCACATTGGCACTGGCCCTCCAGGGTGGCCCCGCCTGGCCTCCGGGCTCGAGTCCTATGGCCCCTGGGGCGGTGCTGTCAGGCTGGCCTGAGCTGGCAGTCCCCAGAGGGTCCCCAGGGCCCTCAAAAACCTGTGTCCCTGAGGGCCAGTGAATAAAGGTGGGCTCTGGGACGAGCCTCTTGCTCTCTGTCTGTCAGCAACCCTGGAGGGGGGAAATGGGGGGCTCCCTGCCATAGTGCCTGACACCTCCCAGCCCACACCAGCCACCTGCTCCCAGGGGCATCAGGACCATAGCCAGCCCCAGAAGCGGTGCTGAGCCCCACGCAGGGGGAGCAGGCTGCCCTCACAGCCCACACTCTGCCACAGCCCGCCTCAGACAGGGTGAGATGGGCCCGCCTGGACTTACTTGAGGAGCTGGGATCCCAAGGCCTGCTGGGAGGGGCTGGCCTCATGCCTGCCTGGCTCACCCTGTAGGGCCAGCAGGTGGCAGCAGGCCTCCCTGAGCCTCACAGAGCCCTGCCTCCTGGAACCTGGCCCTACACAGCCTGCCACCTGCCTCCCCCCCCCCACCCACTCCAGGGCACTAATGTGTGGTCCCTTCTTGCCGGCGGGCTGGGCTTTTCCAAAACAGATTAAGCTTGGGGTCTCCCTGCCAGGCAGCGGTCTTCCTGAGCTGAGCAAGAGTAATGGGGTCTCCTGGGCAAGGCAGGGTGGCCCTCGGGAGGGGGCCCAAACCCAGCAGAACCCTGTCTGGGCCGTCCTGCCATGCCCACCTGCCCTGCTGCTTCCTGGGCACTACCCCTTCCCCACCACGACCTTCCTCAGGGGCGGAGGCACCTGCCTTGAGGTGACAGGTTAATGTTGCTCCTTAGGGGGTTTCCTCACCAGGTGGGGGTGCTGGCACCCTCTAGTGGCCAGACTGGTGGTGACATGCTGCTCTCTCCAGTCCCACCCAGCTCCGGAGGAATCAGCACCCTTGGGCAGTGGGGGTCTGTGGAGATGGTGAGGACCCTTAGGGAGCGCTTGGGGGCGGCACAGGTCTGGGCAGAAGGCCTAGCTGTGCTGCCCAAGGAGAGCAGCTGGTAGGAGAGGAGGCCGGGGGCTGACGCCCACCAAGTGGGGCCACCTGGGAGGGGTGACAGTGGCAGTGTCATGGTGGGTGAGCTAACACCTTTGGACAGACGGATGCCTCCACACCCAAAGACAGAACCTTGGCCTGTGCCACCTGCCACCCCTGGTCTCTCTCCCCAGCCCACGCTGCTGCTTGCTGGAACTGACCAGACAGCCCACTCTGGGGCCATTGAGCTCATCACAGAACCCCCTGCACCCAGAACCGCCCTCCCACAGACACCCTCCCATACCCAGGGCCCCCCTCCCACAGACGCTCCTACCCAGAACTACCCCCGCAGACACCCCATGCCCAGAACTGCCCCCGCAGACACCCCATGCCCAGAACTGCCCCCGCAGACACCCCATGCCCAGAACTGCCCCCGCAGACACCCCATGCCCAGAACTCCCCCCGCAGACACCCCATGCCCAGAACTGCCCCCGCAGACACCCCATGCCCAGA